TCAACATATTTTACCCCTCTGTATCATAACTGCAAAACAGTAGGCATGCTTTGGCCCAGCAAATTATTTCAAAAGCATTAAGCTGGTCATTTACTCCATAAACTTCCCTCTCTGAAGAATATCTCGGGAATAGCTACCAAACTGGAAGAGGAATTCTTCATCTAACTGAGTTTAATCAGCACCAGAAGTGGGAGTAAATTGAATCAGAATGGAGGGACTTTTGCCTGGGTGTAATAAGCTAGAAGGTGACATTCATCCCTGCCTAAATTCAATGTAACTACCCTGTGTGTGCATCGTCTCAGTGTAATAATCCTTTTACAGAAGAGCAGAGACTTTTAACGCCTCCCTGTTTCTTGCTACGCGGAGACGTCTGTGTGCATATTAAGGCCATTTAGTGCTTCTGCTTCCAGTGGAGGAATGCGGATATACATGCTTTTGTAAGCACACAGATTCCCCACCAGTTCTTTTCTCTGGTCTAGCACTCATAAAAATGCTCAGCTATTTGCCCTGTTCCTCTCACGAAGGCTTTTCTATTCTCCGGGCAGCTCCACTGAGCAAAGCCTGAAAATCTCTTGACGTGAAATGTGTTCTTCCTCACTCTCTGCATTCCAGTGCATGGGGATAGAAAACATCTGCCCCTCTTTTATCAGGAGAACAAAATGTTTTGAATGCAATAAAACTTTTGAGATCCATACTCATATCTTATAGGCTGCTGCCTGTTCCCTGGCTCTACCCAGCTGGCGGAGGTTCCTGTCCTGCAGCACGAGTAGCTAGCGATGACATGACTAGAGTGGATAGGCTGTTTCAGGGATGAAGCTTTCAGTGCCGGTGTGGTCACAGATCAACTTACAGTAAAAGCTTCTGAACAGAACCGATGATGTAAGTCGATATGTGTTATTGCATCTTATGTCAGAGTCTGAGAGCCTAGTCGGTATTGCAGGGTGAGGTCATCGGAGCAGAAAATATGGATGGAATCAAATAAAGGGAGGAAATGTTCTTAATTTCCAGCACATGTAAAGAATATATGTTATACTCAGCTACTGCATAAACATGAATCTGAACAAGACTTTTCTGCTGTATGCTGGAGGGCAACTATACAGTCTCTTTGCCATTAGCCTTCATTGACTCTTTGTGTTCTTTCCTGTCTATTTTAACAAGTTATTAAAACTGAGAACAAGGATATAATACTGCAACACTTGCTGGGATTGGGGTCAATTAGTATTTATTGCACTGGTTGCCTGAGGAAGAATCCTTTTACAGCTTTATCTTTTTAACTGAGCTTAGTACGAGGTGAGCTGTGCAGTAACTAACTAGACCAAGAGCAGAGTCCATCTACTACTTCTGAGTCTATCAGCTCACATATGGAATAACTACCCTGACTGCAGGCCTGTAGCACTGGGTCGGGGCAGATCTGTGATTCTGATGAACATTCAGGGTTCAGAACCATACATAAATCATGTTACTGCTCATTGGCTGAGTATCCTTAAGAGATGGTGCCATCCCTTGAAGCTATTGTGGTGTTAAAGGTTCTGGGAGTAATGGCCTTTCCCTGTGTCTGAAGTCAATGAATTTTCCTCATGTATTTACCGTGGGTTAAGACTGATATGCAGGCAGTCACTGTAGGTCTATTAACCTGAGGTGAATTGCTAAGACCCAGGAATTTATTCATGCACCTAAGCTCTAAGTGTGTTTATTCTCTTTTGGTGGTGGGAAGGAGCCCTTACAGTAACTGCAGATTCCAGTTACACCCAATATCATGCTCTGGTTCAGGGACAGACAGTGGTAAAATATGAGCCAGATTTGTGCTTACCACTACCCACATACATACCTTCACCTCATCAGCATCTGCAGTGAGGGAACTGCTGTAACTCTCTTAAACCAGGGCTATGCTGAAACACGTGGAGTTTGCAACCCTCAGGTCTGTGGAAAGGGTGACCTTTCTGGAGAGACAGGCAAGGTCACTTGCAGTGAGAAGTTAATCCCCCAGTAGCTATAGGGTAGGGTCATCTGTAAGGCCTGGGGAGGGCACACCCTTCCTTCCACAGACCTGGGCTGTGCTGGACGAATTGTTGGGTTTACCATGATCTTTGGACTGCCTATTTCTCCTGTCTCTTTTGCTCTTGTCCACAGCCTGGTTTGGCTAATCATAGGAGACACACACAGCATGGTGCTCTGGCTACTACCCCCTGAGCACAATGAGTGCAACACACTGTTTAAAAACAGGTACAGAGTGCTTATGAGTCTCCCGTTATAAATGTAACTCTTCTTCCCCAAAGGAAAGACCCACAGAGTGTTAAGTGTCTCAGAGCTTTATTCTGTCCTCCTACTGCTGTGACTAGTAGGGAAAACCAGATTCTCACTGTTCTAAAAATGATGGCAAAACCCAGATCTGTGCCCAGTGTGACTGTGGGGGCATGAAAAGGTGGGAGCAAGGAGAAGAGGGACCTACCTGATTTCCAACTCTGCCGTCAAAATAGGGTCCACCTACTGGAGTTGTCCAAAAGTGTGGAGAAGCTTGATATATACCTTTGCAGGCTGCTTGCCTTCCTTAATGGGGATTGAGTCTGTCCTTGGGCATGACTAGGCTGGACCCTTTCCTTATTCAGAGGTAAAAAATAGATGCTCTCTCCCACACACTTACATCAATTTTTGGCAACACCAGGCCCTGCCCACAACACAGCACGCTCTTCTACTTGATGTGAGGAATGAAGTGCTTACCAGGGCTGCTTTGCCATGGTGGGTGTTGACAGATCAGATGTGGTGACTCTCACACTTGGCTGATTTCTCTCCCTATCTCCTGGAAATTCTCACCCCCTCCCCACCGAGTATCCTCTCCCCCCCAGGGAAAATGTGCCAGCAGCTTCAGTGAGGACTCCAACAACTTAGCTCACCCTTTAACTAACAGTGAGCGCAAGTTCTCCTCCCAGGAGAACCTTAGGGTTTGTTTTATTTTGTTGCATCTATATCAAAGGTCATCTAGAAGTGAATTCTTGATGTTAAATCTTGTGAAAGTTTCTTTCTCAACACACAAGAAATTAATATGGTAGCAGGATTTTTGCAGTGGTACAAACATTCGTGCTGGGATGTGAGAGTGCCTGTCATATGTCTCTTGACCCTCCTCAGTGATGTGGATCTAGTGCTCACATGACACAGGTCACCTGTGCCATACATAGTGACAGAGAGCGGGGTAGCACTGGTAGCTAATAATCATGCCAGAGATAGAGTTGCCAGAGATCTTAAGGTGCTTCCAGGAGGACTTATGTGATAGGAGGAAGAGGAGGAGACCTGAATGAGCAGTAGGAGAATGTTCCCATGGCCCTCAATCAGAGGATATGGTCGTTAGTGAGAGCATTTCATAGTCTTCCTACGCTAACTTTGCTGGAGAAGTCGGGAGGGCTGAAGGCCACGCAAAGCCCATGGTTAGGTTGGAAGCAACTGATGCAGATGACTGTTGGAAGGGATGTCTCAGCTGAGCTAGGCTCAGAGAGGACGAAATCCGGCTAGGAGAAGTCACTGAGGCAAGATGCTGGCCTGCTGATAACTCCTGAACTGGAGATGTCTTCTTGGGCAGGGTGCCAGTTGCCAGTTCCAAGACCTTTCCCTGTCAGAGGGAAAGTCTAGGGAAGCTGCAGGAATGGCAAAATTCCAAACACACAAGCACTGCATCATGTTTTGGTGCTGGGTGAACTGTGTTTGTAATGGGGAGAGGGAACAGGCTCTATGTGAGGATGTTAACAGGTTATTCTGCATTGTCTGATTGAAATTGCTCTCTAAATTGTTAAACACCTGAGGGAGGATGCCTGGTGGGGCTGCAAAGGAAAATACAGATGGAGATCATATGGTGTGACCCAGATGGGGGAATTGCACTGCACAGCTTTGCAAACAGTGGCTTGACAGGAGAACTGCGGGGGAGTAAGAGTCTGCAAGCTCTTACTTTAAGCTAAGGAGCAGAGCTCCCCAAATGTGTCTAAGGTGTAGAAATTCCTCCACTTACTGACTCATCTGAGACCAGGATGTTCAAAATAAATCCATAAATCAAGTGTCCAAAAATCCATATTTAGACACTCAATAAAGATCAGCTTTTAAGGATGCCTCCGGGTTGGCATCTGATTTTTCTGCAAACCAAGCCACTTAAGTACTTAACAGTGGCTTTAACAACAAATCTTTAAGAACCACATTTGAAAATCTTTGCCAGAAAGAATTGGCTATGAATCCTGCCTCATACACACAAATGGCTTTTTGAAAGCAGCAGGCAGTTTTACTTCTCCATTACTCTGTGGAGCCAACATACTGTTTGACATGCTGGAAGCCAGCTGGATAAATGAAAAATATTGCTATGCATTCTTAGAGAGTATGTGCCTGAATTAGCAAAAACAGAATAGCCTTCTTGCCTCTGCTGGCTACAGATAAGCAAAGATTACTGTGCCTGTGGTGCTTCCCTAAGTACCCGCATCCAGACACCCACACAGAAAAGGGGAGACAACACTTTCAGAAAGGATGATTTCAAATTAAGGACTGAAAAATACAAAAGCAGCTGTTTTAGTGCAATACCACGAGGAAGGGAGAAGCTGTTTGAATGTATCTAGAGATAGAAAAAACCCAGATGGGCAGACTCCTCTGCTCTATCTCAGTAAAAGTAATTTTCTGCTTTCAGTGAACCGATCATGCCAGGAGATTGTTTTAACACAAATAAGTGACATAATTTAAAAATAATTCATATAGATATTTACAGAACGCAGATTTGTGCAGAAAATATAGTTATTCTGCAGTAATTCTCCACACCTCTCTGCTTTCAGCAGAATCATTTTAAAATTCAAGCCCCGCAGAGCATTTGCTCCTGAGGAATGAGTCCTCCTTGCTAAAACCCAAGGATTTCAACTGCACGTAAGTAAATACACATAAGACAAATTACTGGAAAATATCATCTTGCTTGTCTCTGCAAGGAGAACTACCCCTCTGGCCACAGCGCTGTGCAGCACAGCACCTATCCATCCACATACCTGCTCCAAAGCATAATCCCAGAGGCGCCGGTCTCGTCCTTTCTCTGTTTGTAATCCCAAGTGAAGGTACCTCTGGGAAGGTGCCAATCATACTGGAAACCACGGAGTATGTTCACGTCTGGAGCTGCCTCCGCCCGTTTATTCGTAAATCTGGGGGAGGGGGAGGGATTGGGGTTTTCTACCCCTCTTCTTTGACGGAGGAAAAAATGACGTTTCACAGGGCTGGCTGCTGCCACCAGTTTCTTTCTGTGTCATGTGGGATGCGGATCATGTGGCTGCCCCTGCCCAGGACCCAGTCGCCCCGGGGCCTTCCTCTTCCCCCCGCCTTTCCCTGTGCCCCCCCGTTCCCCCCCCCCCCCCCCGCCCCTCCCGGCGGGGGTGCCCGCTGCCCGCCCCGTCGGGGCTCTCCGGCGCGGGGCCCTTCAGCACCACGGACAGCGGCGCTGCGCCCGCCCGCGCCCCGCAGCCCCGACGGGGGGGGGCACCGGGCTGCGCCCCCCCCCCCCCCGCCAAACACCCCCCTCGGTTCGGCGGCGGGGCTCCACCCCTCACCCCCACCCCCCCACCCCCCCCACACCCCCCCCGGCCCGCCGCAAGGCCCCGGGAGCGGGGGAGGGCAGCCCCGGGGGCAGGGCCGCCCCTCGGCCCGCTGCGGGGTTTGGCTGCCGGCGCTGACGTCCCGGTTGCTATGGCGAGGCGCGGCGGCTGAAGAGGATGCTTTTCTTCCACGATGGTCGCCATGGGACCCTGCCGATTGAAAGAAACGGAGCGAATGAATAAGGAGAAGGAGGTGGAGAGAATATTTAATTAGCTGCTTCTGGGAGTTTGTGGGTTCTGTGTGTACTTTTTTTTTTTTTTTTTTCTTCCCATGTAGATAGTGAAACTCATTAAGAGGGAAAAAAAATAATAAAAAAAAAAAGAGAAATCAGACTGTCTGGTCCCCCTATTCAGCATTGAGCACCTTATTTTTATTTCATGGGGAATGGCACTGACACCATTTCCTTATGTTCTCTGCCACATACGCTTTATTGAGCAAGGCAGAGTAATAAGAGCCCTCCTCAGATCTCGGTGTGCAGACTGACAAATATTTGCCCCACAGAAGTACAACGGCTCCATAAACTATATTACACTGTAAGTTTACGGAAGGAATGTATCATTTGAGCCCTGACAAACTTTCTGCCGGTGAACTAACCAAGAAAATTGGAGTGTGGATTACTGTTATTTCAGGATTTCTTCTTAGGTGCATGGATAACATGAACCAACAAAGGCTGATTTAAAGGCTGGGTATTTTCCTTTGTTTTCCTTCATTTTCAGTGGAGAACCCCAAGTATATTTTTATAATTTTTTACTAGATATCTTTAGGGCAGTGTAGGAAAAGTAGAGGTGCTTATTGAAAGCTACTTTCGAGGAAGAAAATTGAAATAAACAGTGTTTTTTCCCCAAGTAATTATTGCAGTATAGTTTCATTCCCTATATTTTATATTTTTAAGCTACATTACATGCAAGGAAGCAGGTATCCTGAGAATCAAGTCAGAAATTTGGAATAGCTCCTATTCAAAGAATGGTTTGAATAGACTAGGGCTGTTTTGCCTGGTTAGAAATGAAGAAGGTGTGGGCAGATTTGATAGAGTGAATGACATGCACAGTGTGAACAGGGACTGTCTGTTCATCTCCAAATAGAAGAACTTGGAAGAGGGCATTAGGTGAAGGAACCTGGTTCAGAACATGCAGAAGGGGGGCGTTCCTCAAATTGTGGGTCTAACTCTGTGGGACTCCTTGCCAAAAGATGTTGTGTGTGTAGAATTTCATGTGATCTTGAGGGGAGATTGAACAAATGTCTGGAAAAATGCTAAATCAATCTAAACTGTCCTAAACCAATAAGCCATATCACTTTCAGCACATCATCTGAGCTCAGAGCAGCTGGAAGTTGGGAGACCTCTTGGTGAAAGTTTTGTGCTGGGCTTCAGTGAAATCAGTCAAAGGTATCTTTATAACCAAGACAATAACTTTATAAAGTTTGAGGTGGGAGTGCAATTTTCCAGATACATCTGCAACAAATCCTTGCCCAGGTAGAGGATGGCAATTGTAATGGCAGACGGACCATACAACAGCTTCATTTCCAGGTGTTTCAAACGTTGTTGTTTTTTCCCAATAAGTTTATTTATTTATTTATTTTTCTTTCTGTTTTCTTCCCTGTCATTACCCATGTCAGAGAAAGATAGTCTTACTTTTCACCTTCTTTCAAACTTGGTTTCACCTATAGTGAAGTATGGTGAAGGAAGGTTACCTGACACCCGTGTTAATGGAGGGTTGCACAGGCACATGGAAACAGTTGGACTGACTTGTACGATCATTCCTCTAGTTTAGGGATGCAGCCTTGGGCAGTGGTAAATGCACAGTGTTTTGGGAGAAGGTATGAAAACCTGACAATTGTTTTGGGGGTTCACTTTCTCTTTCTTGCCACATAGACATAAGGATCAAGGCTTGAAACATGTAGTGATATTATTTTTTCATGAGTTTATCTCACATTATCTATTCTAGTGGCTGCTGAATTCATCAAGCTGTTATAAAATTCAGGTACATCATTTTGATGTTGATAAACTGGAAGAGGGCTGAGGATGTATACCTTATCTGGCATATCCAGAGAGCCTGCAACATCAGTTGTTCTTATTATTTTGAGATTTGTTTCTCTGACAAGACCTAAGCGTTTTCTCAAGTTTGCCCTGAATAACCCAAGTTATCCCAAATCCGATATTGATTGTTGCCAGATCCACAGCTGCCGTTGATTATTTTGGAACTGCTTTCGCAGGGTAAAGTAAATCTCACTCAGCGTTGATCTGGTTTGAATTTTGCATTTGTTTGACCAAAGCAGGAGGTAAATCTCAGATTCAGGTTTTTTTGACACCTGTCACATTTCTGGTATTAAAGAAGCTTTTATTCCTGTCAATGAATCCAGTGACAAACCTGGACAGAGATGTCAGGTGCCCCAACTGACACCTGACTGGGAACAAAGGGGAATTCTGTGCATTCAGTCCTAGAAAGTTTGTGTGGGACGGGGGGAGCAGAAAAATAAATTATACAAAGATATGAGATAATAGATGCAAATCAAAATATAAGTTACATTGTGCCTTCTGTGTATTGGGACCGTTATGCCTGAGGTACTCCACATGGTGTGTACAGAGCCTGTATTTGTAGGATCAGGCAGTGGGAAAGCAGTTGTGATTTATGCATGGGGCCAAAATCTGATCCATCCTGAGCCTTTCCATTTCAATCAGTGGGACCAAGCTCTGGAACAGCACTGAGGTTGCACAAGAAAAAGTCAGTCTTATGTTCCTGCCTTGGTTTATGCCCCAGACATGCAGTTTGGGAAACATCATCTAACCTCTCTGGGCCAAATTCTGCTCAGGAGCACTGGATTAAATTCAGGGCGATCTCACTGGAGCCATGTGGCAAAGTCCAACCTGTTACCAGCTAAACAGGTCTCCTCTGGCTGTCCTGGGGCTGAACTTGGCTCAGGGCTTTCAGAACTTGGACCAGTGCATGAATGACTACGTTTTCTCTAGGAATCCTGCATTTCAGCCTGGTTTTGTTTGAGGAATGGAGGGGTGGCTTTGTATACCTGTCCTGGGTTTGAGTGAGTGGTGTGGTTTTTTGGTAGCAGGGGAGGGGGCTGTAGGGGTGTCCCCTTGTGAGAAGCTTCTCGAAGTTCCCCCAGCTCCAAGTCAGCTCCACCTCTGCACCAAAACTGAGCCCATCAGCTGCGCCTCTGCGATAACGTATTTAAGAAGGGACGTGGTGAGGAGGAGTCGGACTTGTGAGGACGAATTGGGGCAACTTCATGAACACCAAGGTCAGTGGAGGAACGGAGGAAGAAAGGAGGGGGAGGTGTGCCGGAGCAGAGACCCCCCTGTATCCTGTGGTGAGACAGCAGGGCGGCTCCCCCCGCCACCCATGGAGATCTGCGGTGGAGCAGACACTGATTTATGGCCTGTGTTTTTCTCCTGGATGATCAAGGTGCTGTGCCCAAAGAAGGCCGGGGTCTTGTGGGAAAAGGCAGCCTCACTGTTGTAGTTCAGCGCTGGGAGGATTGCAGCATGCGGGGGTGTCCCACGCCGGAGCAGCTTGGGAAGGGCTGCAGCCGTGGGAGGGACTCCAGTTGGAGAAAGTTGGTGACCCACACCCGAGCAGTGTAAGGAAATGCTGCGGCCCATGGGAGGGACTCACGTCAGAGAAAGTTTGTGGAGGACTGTCTCCTGTGAGAGGGGGACCACAATGGAGCAGGGGGAACAAGTTCCAGAAGCTCCGCCCACCGAAGATGGAAGAAGCAGCAGCACTGATGGCACCCCCCATTCCCTGCCTCTGCGCCACTGGGGGAGGAGGTAGAGATATTGGGAGCAGAGCTGAGCCCGGGAAGAAGGGAGGGGTGGGGGGAGGGTGTTCTCAAGATGTGGCAATGCTTCTCACTGTCCTACTCTGTTAAGTGTTGTTAGTGTCTGTAGTAAATGTATGTTCTTTTTTTCTTCCCCTAACGAGTCTGCCTTTTGCTCGTGACCATAATGGGTGATCTTCCCCTCCTGGTCCTATTTCAAATACCAAGCCTGGCTCATTTGTCTCTTTTCATCGCTGGAAGAGAAGGGATGTGTGAGCGGCTGAGTAGTGCTCAGTTGCCCTCTGAGCTTGAACCACGACAATACCTTAGACAGGATCCCTCAGGCCTTTTAGATCTAGTGTAACCCTAAAGGGTAACCCATCAAGGGTTGGGGGGTTTTGGTTTTGTTTGCTGTTTTTACCTGTTTAAATCCCAGCAGTGGTTCAGAGAGTAGTGAGAAATGTCCCCCAGCTGAACTAAAGCCATGTATGGTCTGAGCAACAGACTCATTAAAATAAAGTGAAATTCTGGAATAACAAGTTCTGGGGATTTCTTATATCTGTTTGGTGTGGGAAATAGTAAATTGTCTGGAGGAAATGTGACATGCTCTTATACGTGTTCAGAAAAGTGAGAGAATGTCTAGGTTTCTGTTTAAGCAAAGCTTAGTACGAACTAGTTTTGTCCCCTTCCCAAACATTGCACGCAAAGCAGCATTCAGTGGCCCCTGAAGCTAATATATGGTATTACACATTCTAATAGATGACATTTTATGTGACCTACATGCACAGAGTGCAGCTGGGATGAGTCAGATTTCTGTCTCTGTGGCTGCCACATCTCCTACGTTCTTAAATTAATGCATAGATTTGAAACAAGGGGAGGACTGATGCTGAAGCATTAATTCAGAAGCAGTGGTAAGATCTGTACCTGCTTTAAAGAGGAACTCATTTCCC